TATATATATATATATATATATATATATATATATATATAAGTAATTGTATTTATATAATGTATAGCAATTAAATAAATATCCTGAAATTCTCGATCGTGTAATTGCCGTTTGTTTCTCAGTGGATCGCCGTATAGGACGGCGACGTGTAGTGTTCGCTATCTTAAAACGTACGTAAAACTTATTCGGTGTATCTCTTGAGTCTTCGTGTGATATATTGCGACTTTTTTGTCATACTTTCGATCACGCAATCCGATTACGTTCCTCACATACGTCACACTTTTCACTTCGCTTCCCGTCCTCGCAAGGATCGCAGTCCTACGTGTTTACGTATCATCTTCCCGCGTGCATAGCGGTCCTCTCGCGCTTCGTCCTTTCTCGTCTCGAAGGAAGGACGATGGCGGATGGAGCGTACAGTCGAGAGAACTCACCCAATCCACGTAAACACAAATATACAGTTGCTCGTACGAAAGTATCTCGGTTAAATGGATCAATCTGAGTTTCAGGGTGCATTTTGTAGAAAGTTTTCTGGATTATATCTTGTTTGTTTTTAAATCATTCTTTCCAAATTAATGATAAAAGGGAGAACAGTATGATTTGGTTCAAGCTCCGACTATAAGAAAAGAGCTGTTTTGTTCGGTCTAAGCTGATTGTTTTCTGTTGCGTGTTGCGATTGTTGCGTGTCTCTAAGTGAATTTTTTGCTGAATTAAGCCTGATCTACAATATGCTCTTTGTGTTCTGTTTCTTGTCTTCTGTCTTTTTATGGCTTAAAACTTAAGATTTGATTCAGATAAACCCCTTGTCCACAATCTTGCTTCGATCTTTAAGCCGTAATAAATTGATCAATCACAGTCGATTATTTTAAAAATAATCAACTGTGGTTGGTCAATTTCTTACGGCTTAAGAATTAAAGCAAGATTGTGGCCAAGGGGAAAGAGAAAGAAGCAGGAAGCAAATAACACATTACAGATCAAGTTTTATGGCCCTTTGAAGTTTCTGTTCGTTTAGTAGTAGCGATCGCTATCGCTAGATGGGGCACTATGCACTGTGCGGGCACGAGAAGCCGTCTGGCATGGCCTAGCGGCTAACATGGTACGGAGTGGGGGCAAGGCCGTGTTCCATTCGGTATTCTGTTTTGTTATGGTTACGCTTACTATGCATAACGGGGCCTGATGGAATGCGGACGACATCACGCGTTGCGTAAGGCGCGTGGTGGATCCGCGCGACGTCGAGTCGTTAAAGCATTGAGCAGACTGAGCGCGCGATTTAACAAAAAAATCGATATCTCCACTTATAGGCATCATAATAACCTCCAACAAAAACTGTTGTAAAGCTGAGACTCGCGCGCTTCTGATGTTATTTATTTTCTGTATAATTTTGCGAAACAAATTGCACAAAAACCTTTCACAAACCGGAATCACGAACCGTTCCCATTATTGTCCCTGTTTTATGCTCCACTTTATATTCATCAAGGATAAAAAGCCGATACATAATCATATTTTATACATTGTATATATTAATTTTCGCTTGACATAAAAAAAAATCGATATTTTCCATCGCGATAATCCAATGTCGCTGATTAATCTGTGTATCGAGAAAGACGCTTATGCTCTTCCAGCCCATAGATCAATCAGCGACATTGGATTATCGCGATGGAAAATATCGATTTTTTTATGTTAAGCAAAAATTAATATATACAATGTATAAAATATGACTATGTATCGGCTTTTTATCCTCGATGAATATAAAGTGGAGTACAAAACAGAGACGATAATGGGAACGATTCTTCGTGATTCTGATGTCTGTGAAAGTTTTTGTGTAATTTGTTTCGCGAAATTGTACAAAAAGTAAATAACATCGCGAATACGCGTACATTGAGCATCTGAAAAAACGCGATTAATCCACGAGACTGTGTTTATTAAGACTTTATGTCATTGATTAAAACTCTTCTTAACTTTCTATATTGGTTAAAACAATTGTTTTGTTATCATTGAAATTTCGTATTTGTTTTTGCAAGTTTCGTCAGCTGATTTAGTCTTTACCTACAGTTTTCAAACACCCTTGTATAAAGAATTGAACGTTTCACTCATATTTATATATTTATAAGATGATCTCGTAGATTGGGCAAGTCTCGCACTGTGGAGAGCGGTGGATTGCGATAAAAAAATAAGCATTCGTTAATTATGCGTTGCTGATTATTGACTTTCACGTTCGAAACGAATGTCGCGCTGTTTACCGATCCGCGATCCGTCGACTTGGACGTTAATCGATCTCATCGGCACAAGAGCACTAGCAGCAGGATCGGTATGTAACACAGAGCGTGCCGACGGTAGCGTAGTGTAAAAAGTAAAAGTCAATTTTAACGTTGCGATTTGTAATCTATTTGAAGTATATATCAAACTGTGACGAGCAGGGATGGTATGTATCGCGTTCCCCAACCATCGTGCTTCTGATGCATACGATGCATGTCACACTCACGTTACGTCGAATCTCTTTTCTCGCCGATTACGTAAGAATCAAGTAAATTCGCCACCTTTCGCGTCACGTCTATTACATATGTACAATCGCGATGCGGATCGAGATTAACTCGTAGTCCAGCTACTCTTAAAAACAATAGCGCACACCTTTCTTCGTTCATTATTATCGTTTCATGGCGATAATCGTAGGACAATTATCAACGGAACGACGCGGATTCAAGACTTCTCCCTTCCTACGACGTATTCGCCGACGCGTCGCAATCTCGGATTCATTCGATTCTGCAATTCTCTAAGTCTTAATGCGTTAGTATATTACACATGATGTAAACGGATACTTGAAATCAGACAGCCGCGTTTAGCGTTAGATAGACGTAGACGAGGATACGAGTCTTGAACTTTCGTCAGTCTCTCCGCAACGACGACGGTGCGCGTCGCACTCACGTTCGCTCACGTCTCGCATTAACGAAATAAACTCGTCGTCTCATCGTAATTGTATGTCATCAACATTGTGTATGTCGCTAAACCAGTGGCGTAACTGTTGTATCAAGAGCGGCAAGACAATATATATTCGAGTGAGTTCTCCGACGTTATGGACCTGAAGAAAATTCAAAGAATAAGAGATTTCAGAGTATAAAATTTATAAACTTTAAGAAAATATAAGCCTTTCTCGTCTCTCAGTTAAATAAACGTTTGTACGTACATGTTAAACTCCACAGAGTAAACTCTCATCGTAGTATCCTTTTTTCTCTTTTTTTTAATTGTGTTAAGGCAGCAGAATAGGAGAAGAGCTTCTTCAGCCATTTCTTTGAGAATCGAAAGTCCGTAGTTACGCCACTGTACAATATACACGCTTTTCAACGCGCGCAATGCGCGACTTCGTGCTTGACAACGCGGTGAATCATATAGATCAAATGAAGCAAATTAACAGCGAATTCGGCTGGACGCTAGTGCATCGATTTACGCACCGACGTTGCGCTCAAGGTCATCCATCATATGCGCAAAATTCATCGAGGCTCGTGAATCTTGCGCGAGACGTTCGTCAGCACGCAACGATGTGCATTTCTCTTCAGCGCGTATGTACATTCAGCCGAATTCCAATCGAGGGTGTAAGGGCGTTGCCTCATTTTCATCTATGTGACACATCGATACAGTCGGAGAGCCGATCGCTTCACGCGCACCGAAACTTCTTCCCCGTGGTCTCGTTACGTCAACTGGTCGGGAATCTTAGTGGCTATATTTATATCGTAAAGCATCCTGTAAGCTGTCACCCCGCAATCGCTCGTCATTACGTCCCCTCGATCAGCCGTGCTGATTCATTAACGGTCAACGCTTCGTTTCCGGGACCAAAAGTTATCTCATTCGAACTAGCATGAAAATTATCGAGTAACGCAATGATCCTAAGATAAATTAATCGGTATTAATCTTCTGTCGCACGGTGACAGCGATCATGGGTGGACGAGCCGTTTGCTTCAAGCCTAATATACATCGAGTATTAGGTTTACAAAACAGACGCCCTACCTCGTCGTAGGGTTTCAAGGGTCGGATCGGTGGTTTCACAGCAGAGAAAGATACGGGGATCTAGGGAAACTAGAGACGGGGGCTCGGGTTGATACGTAGGACTAAAGAGAGAGAGAGAGAGAGAGAGAGAGAGAGAGAGAGAGAGAGAGAGGGGAGAGGGGGGAGAGACTGGTTACTCCCGCAGTTTGTGCCAATCGGCTATCTGTCGTCGCGGTGAGTTGCACACTTCCTTCCAATGGTTCACAGCAGAGCCTTGACACTTTGGTCCACCGAACTCGAGCCGGCCGATCACCTGGAACAATAGCGAACGCATACAGGGATTATCACGCGATGCGTCGTCTTCGCCAAGCGAAGGCTTCTTATTATCGATCGTTTAATTCACCTCGTTCTTCGTAACTCTATCCCAATCCAGAAGCATAAATTCCAGGCTGACATTGTTGAGCCCGTCCGCGCCATTCGGTATATCGAAGACGAAGGACTCGTTGAACACTGGACTGAGCGTGCGTTTCTTCACGTGCGTCTTCTTCTTAGCGATGCGTTGCTGATTGTACAGAAGGTAGATCTTCACGTACGGATCGGCTAGCCCGGTCACATCCATCTTGGGTAGATTACGCGCTTTCAACACCACCACCGTCAGTCGGCTGGTGACAGGTTGCCAGCACAGAGATACCAACAACTCTCCTCTGCCTTGCGATTGTATCTGAGAGGAAATGGAGACGGGAAAGTAACGAAATGACATTTACGATTATTTTAGGCAAAAAGAAAAGCTATCAATATAAAATAACGAATTTAGTTCGTTATATTATCATGAATTGTTCTCATTAATTAATTTTAATTTAAACAGGAAAGTAACGAAATGACATTTACGATTATTTTAGGCAAAAAGAAAAGCTATCAATATAAAATAACGAATTTAGTTCGTTATATTATCATGAATTGTTCTCATTAATTAATTTTAATTTAAACAGGAAAGTAACGAAATGACATTTACGATTATTTTAGGCAAAAAGAAAAGCTATCAATATAAAATAACGAATTTAGTTCGTTATATTATCATGAATTGTTCTCATTAATTAATTTTAATTTAAACAGGAAAGTAACGAAATGACATTTACGATTATTTTAGGCAAAAAGAAAAGCTATCAATATAAAATAACGAATTTAGTTCGTTATATTATCATGAATTGTTCTCATTAATTAATTTTAATTCAACTAATAAAATAATACCTAGAGAGAAGAATATTTTATTAGCTTGTTTTGTTGTCACATAAAATCGTTCTAGAATGTCAAATTGTGCGAATCGCGTCGCCCGAAGGAAATGCTGTCGCGTTTCTAGGACACTCACCTTCAGACTCCTGGGACATATTTTTCGACAGAGAGATATCTCTTGATTATCCGCGTCTTCCAAGCCAGGCACTGATGATAGAGCGCATGTCAGTTCTCCGATGATATCGTCGCGCGAGTATCTATCGAAACTCAGCACGATGAAGTGCAAGCTGATTTTCTGCAATTATAATTGTCGTGTAAGTCGCTCTTCTTTCCGGATGGAGAGAGAGAGAAAAAGATCAGTTTTCTAATTCTCCAAATTAGAAATCTGCACGTGAGAAAAGCATAATCTACCTGAAGCTGACTCTGCGATATGCCGAAGAACGTGAAATCTTCATCGTACAGCGGATCCCTCGTGTTTCTAAGCACTCTGGTCTTTACGTGATGTTGCTTGTCGGGCAACAACTGTAGCTTCACATAAGGATCACTAGTGGCATTCTGCTGACCCCTGGCAGGCAGTCCTTTGCATTTCACCACTGTGACGGCGAGCGCGTTCTGCTCGCTGCGGTATCGCAGTTTGAAGACCAGCTGGCCCAAATTGTCCTTGTCGTTCTCGGCTGTCTGGCTCCTCTCGCGTTCTACCTTCTCGTTGTTCTCCAGCTCGGCCTTATCGCGTTCGTTTTCTATGCTCACAGCAACTTCGACAGGTGGCGTTTGCACTGGTGTACCTGTTGTGAAATCAATCGTTCGGTAAACATGAGCGCTAGAGTAACAACATACGAGCGATCGGCCATAATGTTAAACGCGAGAACATCATCGGGACAAAAGTTCCAATCATCAATTTCCTCTCTTCCCTTTTTCCAAGAAAAAGGAGAAGAACAAAGAAGAAAAAGGCAAAGAGGACTCTCCCACTGGCGTTTGCGCAATTATCTAAGCAGTGACATTACATCACGGTGATTAATCATGATCTGCTTCACATCGCGTCGCGTTACCTGCGCCTTGCGGCGTTCGGGGTTGCGAAGCCGGGTTCGAGGACTGCGACCCCGTCGGGCTCGGCGTCTGTCCGCCGGAGCCGGGAGGGCTCTTGGCCGGTCCCGTTGGCGATGGACTCTTCTTCAGGTAGTGGCTCGTGCTACCAGGGCTCTTGACCGCCGTCGGCTTCCGATGAGGCGGTCTGAACGCCAGGGACTTGTCGGAGTTTAGCTTGGTGTGCTCGCGACGTCGTCGGCAGAGCCACCAGGTCATCGCGACGGCGCAAAGTAGAAAAGCGGCGCCGATGCATAGCGTCACCAGCGTCGCCGTCGAGACTGAAATCACACACGCGCGTGTGTGCTTCTCAAGCTTTCTGCCGCAATTAGTTGGCACGCTAATTGCACGCGATCCATCGCAAACGGAGCTGCATCACGTGATACCGCCACGATGAGAGAGGACGAATATCGAGTATTTACCGGAAGGACACCCTAAAAGAGGGGCCCGAACGCGATACGAACGCATTTGAAAAGTTCGCACGTTCACGTTTGAGGAAAAAAAAAGAGAGAAACGAAACGCTCTTGGTGCACTTTGCGTCTCTTCGATAAAGCGAGTAAGGGTTCTCGTTCCTCTCGTCAACGTTGCGGTTAAGTCCCGAATGCATCGCGTGACAGCGCGTTCTTCGCGATCTAATTATTCCCCGACACCGTGCGGATTTACATTTACAGTCGGCCTATGTCGATACCAATAGATAGGCAGCCAATATGACAGGCTGAGCTTGCCAGTGCTTTCCACGGAAAGCAGAATTGCGCGTTATAGCAACAGCAACGTTCACGAAGCAGATTGTGTATGTGCGAGCGAGCAAAGGGCGACTCGTTTCCAATCGTTTTCCATCGTCGTACATAAGCGAACGGGATCGCCCCCCCCCCCCCCC